CAGGAATGGGCAAAAGCATTCTTGTTCAGAAGATCTGCCAGGACTGGTCAAGTGGAGAGTTTTCTCAATTTGAATTTGTATTTTGGTTTGACTGCAAACAAATAAGCTTGCCTGAGAAGCGATACAGTCTGAAGGATCTGCTGCTTGAATTTTTTGTAGAACCTCAAGAGGGAAGCAAAGAGATCTTTGAGTATATATTGCAAAATCCTTCTAAAGTCCTTCTGGTTTTTGATGGTTTCGAAGGGTTGCATGATCATGAGAATTTTCCTCGTTGCTCAGCCAGCCAGCCTGAAAAAGACTTGTGCACTATAAAGGAGTTGCTTTCACGACTCATCCACAAAAAGATACTCAATGGTTGTACTTTATTACTTACAGCAAGACCAAAAGACAAGGTGTACCAGTATGTGTCCAAAGTGGATAAGACTATTGAAACATTAGGATTTTCCCCTCAGCAGAGGGAATTGTACATAACCAAATACTTTGAAGGATTACCCTACTGTGATAATGCACTGAAATTAATCAAAGAGTGTGAGTACTTGTTCAGTCATTGTTACAGCCCTGGTATGTGTAGATTTGTTTGTTTTCTCTGTGAGACAGTACTTGAGATGGGAGACAAAAGCCTTCCTTCAACTCTTACTACAGTCTTCCTGAAATTTGTTCAGCAAAAGATAATACCTATGCAAACAGATGTTGCAGCCATGCAAAATCGAGAGAGTCTTGCTACATTAAGCCGTATAGCCTGGGATCTTGGAGAAAAGCACCAAAGTGCCATGAAAAGTGATCTTCTTCCTTCTAAGGAAGTTAAAGAGTTTGCTCTGAAATATGGATTTTTCCTGCCATTTGCATTCCCCAGACATTCAGATAGTGAAGAAGAGGAATTTGGGAGCACATTCTCTGATTTTGTCATTCAGAATTTCTTGGGTGCACTTCACCTTATGTTAGCAGAAGAGATCAAGGATAAAAGTCTAACAAAGTACCTGTCTTTTCCATCCAAGAAGAAAAAACCTTATACCTGGTTAGATTTAGTGCCTCGATTTTTGGCTGGATTACTGTTCCTCCAGGATGATCCCTTCTTCTGCTCCCTTTCAAATAAGGATGTAAAACAATCAACCAAGAAGCAGAAAATACTCTTGAAATATATTAGAAGGCTGCAGATAAATGAGCTCTGTCCAGAGAGGTTACTCGAGCTTTTACACTGTATTTATGAAACACAAAGCAATTATCTTTTGCAGCATGTGGCCTTAAGGCTCAAGCCAGACCTGTCTTTTCTGGGCGTAGTTCTTACACCACCTGATGTCCATGTACTGCACTCTGTTTTAAAAAGGTCAAGAAAAGAGTTTTCCTTGGATTTGCGAAACAGCAGCATTGACATGCAAGGGCTAAAAGACTTGGTTGGCCTAAAGAATGTGGCATCATTCAGGTTGGTCATTCTTTGTAGGTAGTAGTGTCATTCATAGGACTGTATGTAAATGACACTTTCATGTGACAACAGCAGTCATATGTGTTGACTTTACCTGTTTTGTCACTTTACAGGGCCTCCCCCAGCGACACAGTCAGGCTTTGGAAGTCTTTAGAACAGACAAAAGACTACAAACTGCTGAGAGCATCAACAGAGAAATTTGTTCTTGATCCCTTTAAGGCAAAGACAATGAAGGACATCAGTGACCTTTCAGACCTTGTAGAGCTGCAGGAGAGGATGATCCATTGGTAGGATCATTTGTGATCAAAAGTTCTCTTAATATACTAGTGATTGGGGTTCACTGACAGTGCTGGAGAATGGAGACCTCTGCTTGTCCAAAGAAGAAGTAACTAAGGCAGTGCAAGCTCTTGTATCATCTCAGAGGGTTCTCCTACCCCGATGTGGGGTGGTTGTCATAGCAGAGAGGAGCAATGACAGCACCATGCAGTATATTTATCAAAACTGCCAATAAAAAAGCCAGCTGTCATTTTTTTTTCCTTCAGATTTCTTTTTTATCTTGGAGTATACTATCTTCCAATTGCTTTCAGTTTCATAACTTGAGCTAACTGATTTTTTTGCCCCCCATGGCACCTGAGCCATAAATGAAGGCTTGTTTTGCACTGGTCACAAATGACCATAGTCAGTCCTTTAGATCAGGAAGTAAAATCTTGTGTTATGTGATCTATAAATTCTGTGTTTTATCCCTGCTCGTGATGTGGCTTGGGGATTGGTTGCAATTAAAAGCATGCATAAATAAAGCATTTTGGTTGTGGGGGTTTTTTTAATAAAAATGGTGACTTCTATTTTAACATGGGCAGAGTATTTTGATTAAAATATACACAAAATAAGTTTCACATTTGACAGAAAATACTTGATTTAGAAGAATGTATTTTTAAGTTTTATTGGAAAAATAGCAAATGACTGCACCATGAAAGGCAATTATCAGATTAATCAAAAGGTTGGAGCAGAAGTTATTTTGAAGTTTCCTGGTTCCTCAGTTAATGCAGCAGTGGTCTATTTCCTGTAAAAGTTTACTAAGAAATTATTTTTAAAGCACTGTTTTCATTGCTAAAATATTTCTCATACTCTGGTTCTACTGTGTTTTATTCAGTGTGCAAGATGCATCTGGTTGCAGCAACTATGAAATTCCTGCCATCAAAAACCTCAGAAAACTAGAATTTGCGTAAGTGATATTCCTCTCTGTTGATTGATATATGATTACATGTAAGACTGAGAACTGTCATGGATATTGGCTGCAGTCATTGAACTGACGTATAGTTGGTTTATGGCAAAGCATTAAGTAAAGCCCATTTATTTCTATTCTGCTTTTCTCAACTAGATTTATTGAGTTATGGCCAAAACTAAAAAAAAGTCATTTCTGGCTCCTGCAGATCCTGTTGATCCTACTGACCAACATGGTTCTATCAATTTTGTTTGATTTTACTACAAGTTAGCTCCTTATCACCAGATGTAGATCTTATGCCACAGGGTATAAAATATCTTGATTGTGATCCAGCTACCTGGGAAATATGTTTCCCCAGAAATGCTCAACTTTTCTGTTTGAGTCTTCTGATGTAATTTTGTGCCCTATCTCAGAGCTTAGGCCATGAGAGAATAAGGTCAGAGAATGCCTCCCAAATAAAATATTTAGCAACATTTTCTTGGAAGAAGGAAAATTGACTTGGAAACACTGAATTTAAAAAATGAGGTGTAATAATATTTCTTTTTTTCCCCCCAAACTGTAAGCAGTCTCCAAGGCTATTCTGTTGCTTAAAATATCCTGCCATAGCATGTGAATTAATTTGGGCAGAAATCGCACCAGTGCAATGGAGAACTCTTATCAGGTCTTCATCTCTTTCCTGCTCTTCACATCTGACCCAGTCTAAAACTGCTGTGCTTGGCTTCACTTCTGATTCTTTGATGCTTTCTCTACTCATTTCCTCTCCTACTTTCCCTTTATTTTAATTTTTTTGTTAAAATTCCAATGCTTTTAACTAGGCTGAACTTATTCTGATACCAAGGAAACTCCAAATAAGAGGTTAGCATCTGAGGGACAAATGCTTGAAGCTGGAATATTAAAGTTCAATTTATGCTTTAAGCTGCAGTAAAATGTTGATCTTAAGTTAGTCCGAATTGCCAATAGTTGAGGGGGAAAAAAGAGATTATTTTTTTTATCTCCATTATTAAGATTAAGTGTTAATATTATAATACTTAAAATGAAAAAAAAATAGAAAAAGAACAGAAATACAGGAATCTAAAACAAGTGAGATGAATCTCACAAAGAGTAACAGAAAAGTGGCAAATGCATGTACCGCTGCTTCTGTGCAAGCTGCTCTGCTCTGTCTGACCTTAGCCTTGTGGGGTCCTCATCTGGAAACTTCAACACAGAAATCCTTGCTGCAGATTGTAGGGAATGGCTGCTTCTGAGGAGTGTAAACTAGCTTGCATTTGGGGCTGCAGGGAAGAATTTAAAAATTCATAACTTTTGCTGTTTCTGAGCATGTGTAAAAACTGCTGCATGTCTACATTTATTTTCTTCCAGGCTGGGTCCAGTATGTGGCCTTCAGGGATTCCTAAAACTTGTGGAAATTCTTGCAGCATTTCCATCACTTCAGCATTTAGAGTGAGTAATGCTAAAGATTAACTTTGCTGATGTTGCCCCTCAGCAGCCCTTGATGATGAGAGAGCTCATCTACCCAAGAAACATTTTATTTGCAAACAAGACTACTTGCTTTGATGAACAAACTGAACAATGAAAACATTCAGAGAGTATTACAGCAGACTAAAAGCTAGCGCTTTTCATCCTCCCTTAAGACATGTGGCAGGGTTTTGTTCAATATCCCTTCCGTCACTTCCCTGTGTTCCTCAGTGGCTAAAAGCTTGTGGGAGAGGTTCAGCACAGACCCCCACCGGGTGCTCCCCCTTCCTGCCACAGCACGGATCAACACTGTCTGCAGATCACTCATTTCTTCATTCAAGCTCCATAACGTGCCTGAGCCCCAGGCTCCCTCATGGTGAGGTTTCTGAGGGACTCGCGGTCGTGTCTGTCCCAGGA